TCCTTGCTTTGACTTTAGACTTTCAATCCAGATAGTCTGATAGAACTATAACCTGTCCTTGGTATATTAAGCCAGCCCAATATCCTTTTCTTCTGGTTTGGTTCTGGTGGTCTGGTTGGTAGTACTCCTCACCTGAGGTTCTTGCCTATCTGGCTTCTCTACATTGGTATTCATTTCCTAGGTCTAGCCTTTACAGTAGTACTATTAAAGATCTGTATTACCTTTCTACTTGGGTCTTTCCAAGTAGGCTTCGGTTTCTCAGTTTTATGAATTTACACAGCCATAAGGACTTATTTTAGGTTTGCACCGCCCGATACCAGTTTGCATTTCTCTGTGTAACCAAGATTACACAGATGCTCTGTGACCTGCCAGTCATGCTAGTGTGACTATAATTACAGGTATTCTATTCCAACTAATCAACAGAATGCTATTGCTATAATACCATCTATGTATTATATAGGTAATTATTCAAATTTTCACTGTCAGTGGGTTTTGAACTTACAACCTACCACTTGGGGGTTGACAATTTATTCACTTCACTAAGTCACCACACCCCTAAAAAATTAAAATTATTTAATATAAAGAAATATATAAAATATTGTAAAATTTTTTAAAATATTATAAAGAATAATAAATATTTGAAATTTTTTTGTAATGATTAAATTTTAGAAATATTGAAATATTTTAAGAAAATAATGAAGAATTACAAAAAAAATTTATCATTTATTTATATTTTACATGCTTTAATCATTTTGATACAATTTTAATATTCTTAATTAATTATAATTTAATATGCATATTTTAATAATTATTAAAACTATTCTAATATATTTAAATATATTTGTATTACTTTAAACACTTTTAATATAATCAAAATTTGACTTTTATTTATATTGATTTTATATGCTTTAATTATTTTAAAGCAATTTTAATATTTTTAGTTAATTATTATTTTATTTTGCTTATTTTGATAATTATTAAAAATTTTAATATATTTAAAATATTTATATTTCTTTAAATACTTTTAATATACTCAAATTTTTAACTTTTAATTATTTTGAATCATTTTATAATTTTTTTAAATATTAATATATAATTTAATTACATTTACTATTTTTAGTATTTATAAATTACTTTAAAATAATTTAATCTGTTTGTAAACAATTTAATCATATTTTGAATATTTTTTTGATTATATACATTTTTGTATTATTTATTGTTTTTTAAATAAGACTTTAATTTTAATATAAATTTTTGAATATTACTAATTTTAACCCATGGTGATCATCATCTAGGGTGTTGTATCTCAAAAAACGCACTAAGAAACAGGGGTCAGGTAGACTAAATAAAAATGTCCAGACCCTGAAAACCTCGTAATATAAAATTGGACTATTACATCTACTGTCTCAAACTGCACCCCAAAACTAAAAAATAGAGGTGGTGATAATCACCATTGGTTAATTGTAGTATTTTTCTAAATAATATATAAAAATTGTAAATAATTTTTATACAGTATTTTATAATAGTTATATAAAGTTGTAAAATTATATAGATTTTACACAAAAATGTATTTGGTGATGTAGGCAGGACCCAGCATAAGTTGCTAAATATTAGTTTCATATATACCTTGCCTTATGTGATAAATTAATTTATGGCACCTTAATCATAGTCCATCGGCAACCCTTCGGTGATATCTAATATCGAAGCCTTTCTTTCAAGATGTTTCGGACATCCTTGAGAATTCTTTTGCTTATCATTTTTTACTAGGTCAGATAAAACTTTGAACATATGGCATATCATTGGACGATTTTCTGGTGTATAATCAAGTGCTAAACAAGAAATAAATATGTTAATATTCGATATTAAATGTTATAATTAAAGAATAAATTTCTACTTACCTTTTTTAACAATTTTTATAAATTCATTCGGCATGGAATTCTTAAAATTCCATTGTTTGCGATGCTTAGAATTACCGAGAATTGAACGTGTTATACTATCATCATCACAACCATCGAATGGTGTCTCTTCATTTGAAAGTTCCCAAAGAACAACACCAAAGCTAAACCCGAATAAAATTTTACAAGTTAATTCATATAAGAAAACCAATTTTTAAATACAATTAAAGCTAGTTATCAATATCTGAATTGATATTATAATAAAATAGATTTGCTGCAGAGCTATTGACTTTCGCCTCAACGATACAAAGATATTAATAAAATGAGATCTGATTGCATATCGTCTTAAAAACCTACCTATAATTTTCTGACTTAAAATTGTATTCATCATATTTTAAAATAAAGTTACTCGTACGTAGTGATTGGGTTCGAAAACTTCAGTTTAAGATCTCTGGCGCTACATAGTTGATTCCAGTAATTTTAATGTCTAAATTTCTTGTTTCATCTGTTATCAATCGGCTATGAAAAAAGTTTGTAATTTTAGCCCTAAAATCACTTGTAACTAAAATGTTTTCAGGTCTAATATTACGGTGTAAAAAGTTTACTGCATTTAAAAACACTAATCCACTACATATATCTAACGCAATTTTTAATTTAATTGAAGAGTCCAGGAAGTAGTTCTTATAAAGCGCCTTTAGATTGCCATACTCTGACCATTCTGTAACTATAAATATTGAATCAGGAGATGATTCATCTTTTATAACACCATAAAATTTTGTTATATTTATAAAGCCCCCTAAATTTTTTAAAAGTGCTACTCGAATACGAATGTCCTCCTCTATATATGAAATACGTCTTATGATCATGATATTTCCATCAAATGTTTTTTGAATATTTTCATTTTCAAGTTTCTTTACAAATACCAGTGTCCTGCTATCGAAAAGTTCGTTATACTCCAACGATAAGCCACCAATATTGGTGGAGGCATTTTGAGTATTAGCATTTATTTTGTTAAATATGTCAATAAAATTCAGCTTGGTATTATCCTCTGTAAAGTTGCATTGAAATGCTTGAAAAAATTAGCAAGATGGATAATAAAATATTTAGTTATACAATTTGCAAAAACAAATTATAATGCTAGATCAACATACCTTTATTGTATCATTGAGTGATTGGTCGACTTCATTGATAATATTATTAATTCGGTTGTTTATACAAGAATTAAACTTAAGAGATGATATGGAATCGCAAAATTTTTTTATTAATTCAATTCAATGTATCGATTTTTTAGTTTTTTCAATGAAATACCTGAATCAGTGTGTTGTATAAACAATTGCAATCCTCTGATTTGAGAAATATTTTCAATAAAACCATGAATATTTTCAACATTTTGTAGGAATATCTGAAAGTATACATAATTCTCAACTGTTGCGAATGTATCGTGGCCTTCTTCTAGATTATGAAGTGTCTTAACATTATGTTCCGCATCGATAATGCATTGATTTAGTGTTTTACACATTCTTTTATTAAGTTGCATATCACAATCGGGCATTTTAATTTTTTCAAAATGCTGAATTCTTTTAAATAATGGCAAAAATGTATCAAATTTGATAGACCGTTCTAAAACTGCTGTTGAAATTTGATTTAATTGCAATTGCCCAGTAAGTTCGATATCATCTGATGAAAAATTTCGGCAGGGTTCTCCTTTTGTGCTAATTGTGTATCCGGTAGATCTTGAATAACTGATAACTCTATAATAGATTTAAACCAAAAACATTTATTGATTGCTTTGCTTAATGTAATCAAAAATAATTTTATCACAGACCTGTAGATTGAATGTCGTCTACCGTACAAGTTGGCTCTTTTTTAAGATTTTTAAAAGCATTTAATATGTTGGAGATTTCAGGTCTAAGCGAAGGATCTGGAATCCAACATTTTTCATATATTTTTATATAATCCATCGGCATTCCTATTTCTCGCTCTTCTCTCAGACCAAAATAAAGTTTCGCAAAAAATCCACCATCGTGCTTAATATTGTCGAATGATGTACGACAAGTATAAATTTCCCACATAAGTACACCAAAACTATAAATATCAGAAGATTTCCCATAATGATAATTTGATTTTTTTATTAATAATTTTGGATCAACATATGCCTGTACTCCACGAATTTCGGATGTATATCCATCTTTGGATTCAAGAAGAGATTTTGAAAGACCGAAGTCTGCTATTAGAGGCTTGCCTTTATGAATTAGAACGTTCTTTGAATGCTGTTATTATTAATAATGATTATTATTAGAGTATCGTACTGGCTGCAAATCACCTGATTCAAGAAACGTAATTTTAGTTTTGCAGACAAAAATCACACTTCCGAAACCAAACGAAAATAACCGGTAAAATGTAGTTACAAAAGCATACCAAATCTGTGAATTATATTTTTATCGTGCAAAAATCTTAAGCCATTGAGAATTGCTATGTTAAAATAGATTTTTGTATCTAAATCCAGCGTATCTTTTTTCTTAATCAGATAATCCTTCAAAGTACCATCCTCTGCAAATTGCATAACAAAGATATATTTTCCTGTACTGGGGTCTAAATTAAATTATTAATAATAAAAGTGGTCAGTAATAGTAAAATGGTTAATGGTTAGCTTTTACAAGAATGAGTGAATTTTGTGCATTATCACAGTGATGATGTTATAATTGAGTCTTTTGTCCAAATTGCATAAGGGACTATTTGGACTAGGGATGTTATATCAATTTCGGACACCTCTATCAAGAATGAAAATATGTACGTTCTTGATGGGGTTGTTCGAAATTGATATACAAAACCGGTGCTGAACTAGTTCACAAATTGGTCTAACCCAGCAGTTTAATATACAATGTGGATAATTTTGAAAGCGGAATGTCAAAGTATCGTTCATGGCCCACTTTTTATTAAATTTTATTCTGAGTTAGAAATGCACTCGATTTTTATCTGGACTAGGTTTTGAACTAGGTCTGAACTGCCCCTAAAAAGTCCTGCCTGTTCCAGACCCGGTCCTTTGTGGACTACTTGAAACCCCTATTCAGAAATCAGCTCATCTATCGAAATACTCCCATGGGGGTACTCGAAATAGCGCATATGTATGCTATTTCGAGAATTTACGGTAATGAATAAAGAACCGAATGAGCCGACAACACTCCTAGTTCGATATGTTTTTTTACAGCTATTCTCATAAACTTTGTGACAAGTAAAAAATTTGCCCAAGATTGAGTTCGGCTAGCGTTGATCTCAACACCGTAACTAATCAGAATTTATAAATGAAGTTGCTGAACATATTTCGGCGATTTACGCTGTTTTCATGAATTCTGGGACAGCTGGAAACTTTTCTGATGACCGAATCAATAAGTTACCTAGTCTGAATTACAGCTATTTTCATAAATCCTGGGGCATTTCTGATGACCAAATTGATAAGTTGCCGACGTCGGCCGAAATCAAAAGCTTATCGATTCGGTTATTGGACATAAGCCGGAATTAGAAATTTGTCGATTTATAGCAGTAATAATGCCGAAATACTTTTTACAAATCCGCAATAGTTTCTATACCATATATATAACCTATAGCTATTGAAATAAAATTCCAAATGAATTTACCTTGAGATAATCCAAGGAACTGTACGATATATTCTGCACAGTTTTTAGATTCTTTCAGATGTGTTAACTATGAAGTAATTTGTTAAATTAATTAATTTATAGTGTTTATAGTACCATTTTTAACCAACCTCGCGATCAAAATCTTTCGATTTTGTAGGATCTTCACGGATAACAAATTTCGCTGCTACGCGTTGCCCATTCCATTGTACTTCATAAACCTCACCAAAACCTCCTTTTACTAGAAACTTAAATTTTCTTAATTCAGAATATTGAATGGTAATATCTATATCTAAGTCATGTATTGCATTTGATTCCAAATCTTTATCTAAAGTATTCTTCATTTTGGTTTGTAACAAAAAAAAAAAATATATATATATATAACGGTAAAAAATAAAAATCCGAAAACTGTTTAAATATTCATTGAACATTCACATGAAATATATCATGGCGTAACAAATGCACAAACCGCAAATAATGAAAATTAGAAATGTAACGTGACACTCAAACATGTATAAGTTCGATATGTATGTTGTTCCTCAAACAACTTATGCATTACGATTTATAGTGCTATTGCTATGAAAATTTTGACCCTGCCATAAGTTGCTGGATAAAGCAGATACCTTACATATAACTAGGAAAACAGGAACTGTTGTAAGTCCGGAGCAAAAATTGATTTGTAACAGCCAATCAAACGTTTTAATTTTATATTAATTAATCACGTGGTCGGACAGACGGACAATGATCTGCGTGACAGACACCAAATTTTGCTAATGACTTCTAGTATATGTGACTATCACGTGATATACGTATTCCTGAAAATGTAAGTCCTCCGCTACGCTCCGGACAATTAATCAAATACCTTTGTTTGAAATTCGAAGGCTTAATAACCTAACCTAACAAGCATGCTGATACTTATAAAGGATATTTAATATCCAATATTGTTAGTAAATTAAACACAAAATTTTGCAATCTTATATACATCATGCCATTTATTTTTATTATGCATTCTAATCAACTGCATTGTAAATTGGTAGTTCAATTGTGCGATAGAAAAGAAAACATATCAGGCTTTTTTAGGACAACTAATTAAAGTAAAAAAAACAATGATAATGGTAATGATGCAAACCAATAATATTGATAGTAACTTTATTTTTAATATAAATGCTTTATTTGATCTTCGAAATTAAATATAAGACTTGTACCAAAGTTTTTATTTTTAATTAATTTTGCATTCAATGTGTTATAGCCTGATACTTTTTGATTTTTTTCTTGGCGTTAACCAGCCAACCATGTTATATCGGCTGGTTTAGCCAGCTAAGCCAGTTTTATTTAATTAATTTTGCATTCAATGTGTTATAGCCTGATACTTCTTGATTTTTTCTTGGCATTAACCAGCCGACCATGTTATATCAGCTAGCTAAGCCGATTTTATTTAATTAATTTTGCATTCAATGTGTTATCGTTATAGCCTGATACTTGATTTTTTTTTCTTGCCATTAACCAATCAACCATGGTACGTATGCGGTGTACTACATATGTAAATACCAAGAAAATTTCGGGTCACGTGATTATGGACAAAATTCTTAGCGAAAGTCTACGGACACGTACAAGTCACGTGAAACCGCACGTACCCTAAACTAAGATCGGCGATTGGTACGTGTCCATAACATTGAGGTAGGTTATGGTCATGTGACTGGTACGAAATTCTTAGGGTAAAATTAGTCAAGAAAAATTTGTTTTGAATTTTCCTATTGGCCAAATTTTCACTGATCATCATGTGACCTGAAAAACTCTCAATAATAGTAATAAATTTCACAAAATTTTAAATTGATGTACAGCTCTAACGGCTCGAAAGTTTTGATAGAATTGGTATTATGTCCATATGACCAAAATTACAGTGCCATTTCTTTTATTATTATGAAATGTTCTTTCTTAAAAAAAGGCAAGACTTTATTTGGCTTCTTTTTAAAGGAAATGTAAAGTTTATTACTACGTATCAAAAAATCTTCATTAATAAAATTTATTATATGTCCACATATAGTTTCGATTTACATTTATATCAACTGGTTTAGTCGGCTTAATCGTAGGTAATTAACATGGTTGGTATTTTACCGTTCTGATAGTAAATTTTCCTGCTCTAGTCTATTGCACCATTAATTTTTAATATTAAGCTTTATTAATTTATTATAAATATAAATCGATATTAAATTTTTTTTATCTAATATATATATGTATATATATACGTATATATAGTATATGTATATTTAATCTATAATTACAAATTATTAGAACAAAAAAACTTTATATGTAAGAAAAAAAATGCTCTATTGCTCCATTCCACCACTCTAGTAATTAAAACTTAATATATATAATAAAAAAAAAATATCGAAATTAAACAAAAAAGTTCTGTCACCGACGGTAGCAGTGGTCAATCAATCAGATCGTGTAACGAAAAATCAAACCGGAGTAATATAGTGCATAGTAAAATTTGCAATGATTTTTTTCTTAGAACATGAAAGCAGCTCCATCAGTAAAGTATAAAAATAATGGGCTTTTGACGTTACATATTATCTTGTGATCTGAATGGTAGATTGCATTCCGGTGACTGAGACAAATAGGTTTATATTAATGTTAAATTTATTAAAAAAATTAAAAATTATCATGGGATTTGCAGCCTGGTATTTTCTTGGTACAAGAGTACCCCTATTTACATGATTATCTGAGGTTCAGTGACATTTGAAGTGATGCATTTGTGAGGTAAAATACGACCTCCATTTACGTAAACTTCGTCATTGATGGATACGTCATCGCCAAGTACAGAAACACCCTCAAGACGAGCCTGAATGTAATATGCAATAATGAATAAGAGTATACATAAAAAAATATTGCCTAATTGAAAAAAAATTGAAATTTACCCATCGCCCAATGTTAGAATGCCATCCAATAATGCTATTCATAACCCAAGCAAAGTCTCTGATTCTACTTCCTTCCAATACAACACATTTTTGTAATCGAACACCATCACCAATAATAACGTTTGGACCAATCGTGACGTATGGACCGATCCTACAACCTTTACCAATCTTTGCAGTCGGATCGACAAGAACATTACCTCCGTACATATAATCACAGTCAGAGTTTGCAAGGAGGTGTGGCTGTTTTTTGCCTAAATTGGCGAGGTACAGGCAAGTACCTGTCAAAAAATCTTTAGGCTGTCCGACATCCATCCAAAAACCTTCCAGATCAAATGAATGTAATTGGGAATCGGCTGCCACATAAGGAAATACTTCTTTTTCAATGGAGGTAGGTTTGAGCTATTATTTTGTATTTCAAAGATAAATTTAAACAATGATGATAATAATGAATAGTGCAAAAAAAGAGAAGTACAGAATTATAAGTAAAAAAAAAAACTTGAAAGTAAGGTAACTAACCTCAATTCTATCCAAAATAGAAGGATTCAATATATATATGCCAGCATTAATTTTGTTGCTAACAAATTCTACAGGTTTCTCCACGAAACGTTGGACACGAGATGAGCCAGGATGATTTACAATCACACCGTATTTTGAAGGTTCTTCGACTTTAGTTACCTAGAGACACATGTTATTATAATCACTTAATATTATTCCATTCATATGAGATGAAAACGTCGAGCAATAAATTTATTGCGTACATACTACAATAGTGCCTTCATCTCCATGTGCTGCATGAAAATCTCTCAGCTGTTCAAACGGATATTCACAAATGATGTCACTGTTTAATACAAAAAATGGTGTATTATCCTTAGAGAGAACTTCACGAGCCAACGCAAGGGGACCGGCTAAATATATAGAAATATTAATGCTACTTTTAAGTTGGCTATAAAAACGAACTCATTCATGACGATCATTCAAGATGATACCAACCGGTTCCTAAAGGTTCAGTTTCAACAGAAAAAGTGATTGTAATGTTGAACTTTTCTTCATATTTTTTAAGAAGAGTTACCATGATTTCAGGACGATAATTTACGGCCAACACAATGTCTTTGACTCCTGCCTTTAAGAATATGAATTAATTGAAGAGCTTTAAAATACGACCAATTGTGTTGATCCCAATTTAAACAATAATAAGGCCTACCTTTACAAGACCTTCTATTTGATGTAATATCATAGGTTTATTGCAAAACTCAACCAAAGGTTTGGGGAGAGTAAGTGTCAGGGGTCGAAGCCTGGTACCAAAACCTGAAATATTATCAAAAATCAATTAAGTTTTATCGTCAATAGTTTCAAAAATAGAAATAAATATAATAAATATTCAATACCGCCAACGAGAATGAGAGCCTTCATGATTAATTTTTTTTTCTTGAAAATTTAGAAATGCAAATCGTAAAATTGAATGAATTTATATTATATATATATGATCAATTATAAGGTTGTGGTGTGACAAATTACCAATTCCGTCCGTGTTAAATTTTGCATACATGTCGTGCATTTAAAAAAATTTGCTTTGTACACTTTCAGCGCAAAAATGGGATGATTGTAACAACAAGAAGAGTTAAATGGCATTCGTTATTAAAAATATTCCTTTACCGAGTTGCAAAATATACTAATTGGGAACAGGTTACAAAATGTATATTTACATTAATATATTTCGTGATCTAGTGATTGAAATCGAACGATTTTATCATCACAGATCACAAGATACATTTGTATAGATGTTTTAATTAAAGTAAACAAATTAAGTTACTTTGTTCTCTTTTTGATAAAAGAAAATTGAATAGTATTAATATAGAATAACAGCTAATAAGTTCTTAATGTGGCTGTTCTTTGCATTTCGTACAGAAAGCCAGACAGAGTTGTTCTGATTAGTAGTGATCCGAATGGGCAAGATTTTTAAATGTATTAATTTGATTGGTCGGTAAGTTTATTGAGTAGCGAGTTGGAGCCGCCTAAAAACATACTTCAGCCTGAAACTATGAAACAATTTTTAAGTCTTAAATAATGAAGCTTTAAGTATCTCAAAAACTTATGAATTTTATTTTTTAAATTGTTGGCTTGAAAGTTTCTAATTGGTTTGCAAAAACCATATGGACCAATCTTTGAAGTCAACCCACCAGCTGAGGGTAAAAGGTCAGTCATTATTTTGACACATGAAATATAATAACGATAATGATTTAAATCATTTTTGAATTATTTGATAGATTATATAGTATTGTAATTCTTAAGATATTAATGTGCCAAATTAATAGCTGACCCTCTACCCTAGTGATTTGACTTCCAAAAATTGGCCCATATGCGTCATTAAATCCTTAGGCTAATAGTGGTTTCAGAATTAACTTATTTTCGAAATAAGCGAGTTTAAAAATCTTGCGTTTCTAAATTCAAAGTCGGAAATTGATAGTTATTGCATGCGATGATGATTGGTTGGTAACCCAGCCGGTTACCTCAGTTTATGAAATATCAATAATTTTATCATATAAAAAGTGCCTGATTATCTTATAGACTGAACACAGTAAAGCATTGAATAATGTTCTATATAGAGCACAAAATCTATTGTAAAATGCCGTCACGACAATTTCCGTCTTGACTTTTCATCAGTAGGAAAATGATATCATATATACGTATGTATATGAATATCAATAAATATTACAATATCTATTAAAAAACTGCTACATCCGGCTGAGTTTTCTAAGTTCCGGTTAAAATAAACACCGCCGGAGAAAAGGCAGCTTCCGGCATTCGGAAATTTTGTGCCCTGGTTCTATATTTTATAAATCTATAAACTGTGACTACGTAGAATAAAATATGTAGAATTTATGTCACTTCGTCAATTATTTTATCCAAAATTTGATTCTGAACACCCATTATAACAATGAATTACAATGATACACAATATGTACAGTACATTAAAGTTTACAAATACAATATACTGTATAGCATTGTATATGCCTTCTAAAAACCCCTTTTAACGGTTTTGACGAATCCAAAAATCCGAAACCTGAAGTCGAAACCTGTGCCGAATCCGAAACCCTTGTCGAAACTCAAAGTTTAGCCGAAATTTATCTTTATAATATTTCAGTATTTTTCAGTGCGTTTGACTTATTCCTTAAAAAAATTATGTATATTTAATTACACATAAGCGGTTCTAGTCATATAAATGCATGCAACACAGCATGAAGTTAACCAACAATTGAAAAAAAAACAAATTGGTCTATTTTGGTTTTTTTTTTATTTATGAATTGAAGAAAATATCTACTACATAATATTAAAATTTTAATAAATTTCTTCTAATACATTATGAAACAAACGTATTATTTGAGAATCAGAAACCTCTTTCATAAAAAGCATATAAGCAATTATATTTCTTTGAAAAAACATATAAGCAATTGTATTGCTTTAAAAAACATTTTTGGACAATATTCATTTGCATTTTATACTCTGGTCCACCGTGATACTACTTAATAAATATGCAAAATTAAAATACATTATTTGAATAAAAAAAAATTAGATTATTAAATGTGATTTTAATAAGTTAGACGCAGTGAAAATTTAATATTCGCTTACTGGTTTTAACTTGATGGCACTTCTGAAATTTCGTCATAATCAACTTCCATTGATATATTATTAGCTAATGTTTCAACATCAAAATCATTGTGTTGTGGAACTAATACAACAGTTTGTTTTTTTGAACTAACTATAATCTCATCTTCATTTGCTTTTCGGTCCATGTTAAACATTTGCAACCCAATATCTATATACTTCATAATATTTAAAGTATACACACTGGATGTATCAAAATTAATAATTTCATTAGTTTTATTATAAATTTCTGTACTAATATTATCCACATCATAATTAGTAATTTCCTCAGTTTCATTATTAATCACAATAACTGATTTTATTAATTGATTACATAATAAATTTTTAGGTAAATTAATTGCATAACAAGGCAATTCTTGTTTATCATTAGTAATATAAAATATATGAAATTTGCACATTGCTTCTATTCACTCTGTAGCCAAATTAGTATATCTTTGATTATAAAACTAACCCAGAACTAAGAAAGAATGTTTACAAGAAGCACTATGTAGAGTTATTGCAAAAGACAAAATGTCAATACTTGTAACTTCTATTCTTCTTTTTTATATTGTGCAGTCTCCCATCAAATAATTAGTATATCTGATTTAGGATTATATAGTTATTTAAATAGTATTTTTTTTGTTTTTATATTTCTATATTTTTAGATAATAGTTTGTTGTATGATTTTTGATCATGTTCTATATTTTTCCAAATTTATTTAGCTGTTATGCTAATATCTCAAAATTTTTTCAAATTGATATTGTTATCTAAAAAATACTACAGTATAATCTTGATATAACAAAGCTCTGAAGTTGGAGGTTTTGCTTCATTATATCTATATTTCGATTTATTAGGCTTCTTTGATATAACAAATTTATATATAATTTTATAAAACATTTAGTTTAAACATATATACTTTCGATATAATGAATTTGTATATAAATTTTATAAAGGATTCAATATACATAATGAGTCTTGATAAGAATTTATATCTAAATTAATATAATATTTACTTATAGGTCACATAATATCGATCTATCTATTAATTTACACAATCATTATATGTGTAGTTATTAATTTTATTATAGTAAGATAAAATTAAAATAAAACTTTTATTTTTATCATTGCCTGTAATAAACATATACAATACTCTTTACATGTCATCTAAATTAATGCAATTTGTTAGATTATAGAAAATTTTTAAATATAATGAACAAATAAAATACTCTGTTAATAATCCATACAATTTAAAAAATCTTCAAAATTGATCATTTTATCTTTACCCATCAATATTTCTAGATCAAAATTAGATGATAATAAATGTAACAAGCATCATACTAAATAAAAAACCATTAATATAATACAATAAATAAGACTTGCAAAATGATGAATGATGCCAAGCAAAACCTAGAATAGTGATCAAAAAAATTACTATTCTAGATTTTTACTTAGCATCACTCATATATCAACCCATCTTGGATACAATACTCTGTTCTATAATATGTCTTAGTAGTAAATGAATGCTAAAAATAATTCTTTGTATGATAAGTTTCTGGTTTGTTTCTTCATGCTGTTGTAAAAATATTGAAATTACAATAATGTCAATTTATATTTACTGTAATCAAAAATTTTAAAAACCTGGTTAAGTATATTTTTAAAGAGACAAATTGTAAAACTTTAACTTTTAAGAACTTAGGTCTATAACAATAATAGATAGAAGAATCTTCAGAATTTATGATAGGTACTGCAATATTAGTAGAAGTATATGATGAGGAAGCTATATTGTAAGACTAAACTTTCTATAAATGCAGTATAATAAGTTTCATTCTATAAATGAGCTACTGTTTAAAGTAAAGTTTAGTTTTTCAATAAACTTTCATTGTAGTACTATTAGCAAAATTTATATAAAAACATATATCGATTACTAACTATATAAATATATATTAATTATAATCCCCTTTGCTGATTATTATTAATTATAATAAAAATCAATATATATCTAGTTAATCTTTAAACAATAATTATCAATTATAAGTATAATCGATATATATCCTATTTTGACAAATGATCACTTTTATTAGTGATATATATTCTAAAAATATAATACTATAAAAAAATAAATGTATAAGTCATATAATTTTTAAAATAAACTATCAAATTTATTAAAAACAATTTATTAAAAGCAATTTATTATATATATTTAATTTTTTACAATATCAATATTATATATATTAAAGATTAGCAATACATAATGCAAAAACAAAAAATAAAAGTACTGCTTTCAATAGGGTGCAAATAATTCATCCAACTCTTCTTATAAAAGTTGCATTGAATTGGATTATGATGTTTGCAATGTTTGCTCAGATTCAAAATCATAACTTGGAATAATTGGTTATGATTTTTTACTATCTTTCTCTAACTAATTGTTCATTAATGTTTTAGCAGATTCATAGAAGAGGCCTTCTTTATTAAAATTATCATACAATGCAAACTCCAATACAAACCCATTAATATTGAATCAATATAAAGTAATATAAAGTGATATATAATTAAATACTTACCAAATACTTTACTATACAGTGTTTTATATTATTTACTGTATATACAATCTTATGCGATCATGAATTCAATAATATATCACACACAGCTAATGCAAATATACAATGTTTATTTGATAAATCAGATACTGCAATTATAGAGAAAACAATCCTTGTGATAACTACCACCTAATATACACCATCATCATTTTGCTAAAATAGAGAACAAAAACAAACAGCAATCTAATCACTCTGTTTCCACTTCATAATTTCTGTTATAGCAGTATTGCTTTTTAGAAAGGAAGTTTTTTATATTTAAAAACCTTCCAAATAGAATTTTGAATGTTTTGTAGTACCACACTACAGTGATTTTTCATTTTCTGTAATAACTAGTAAATGAAATAAGACAAAAAAGTTAATTAACTTATTAAAAAAAATTAAATAATTACAAGTAATAATGAACACAAAAAAACAAATAAATAATAAATAAATAAAACATATAAATTAACAATAACAAAATGATAATATTCAATATATAACACTACACTATTCACCATAAAAGCAATTTGTGAAATCATTTGCACTTATTTCAGACATGTGAATTGGATATACTTTGTTTAAGTAGTTCTTTATAGCTTCCTTAAGTGTACTTTGTGAGAGATATATGTAGTGTAAAAAGTGACACTTTACTATATTTGTATATATATTCAAAATTTTAAGACATCAGCTTAAGTGTATCTTTATAACTTATAATTAGACTAAAACACTTACTTTTAACACTTGAGAAGAAAGATTATTTGTATGCTCTCTTCTTTGCTATTACAATTCAGTTTTGACATTCTTTATGTTGTTATGAAGTTCTTGGACTAAAATATACAGAGCATGATTTTGGATGAAAAGCTGTTTGTCAACAGTGTGGTGGCTATTATATGTATATTCTTCAATTCAAAAGATTTGTTTAAAAAAAAAAAAAACTTTCATAAGAAAGAAAAAAAAAACTTTCATAAAAAAAAAAAACTTTCATAAGAATGAAAAAAAAATTTTAATAAGAAAAAAAAAAAAAGTACAAAAATATAGTATTCAAAAGTAAAAAAAAAAGACTTATATATAGAATTACCATTCAAATTTCATGGCTGATTTTGATTAACTAATTGTTTTTCTTGTGATCTATCTCGTGATCTACAAAAATGGCACTGTGGCAATAAGAAATGATCTTTATTATTATTTGAAGATGTTTGTTAAGAATGAAAGAGTTAGCAATAAGGCTAGATGGATTGTAATAGTTGGCAGAAAGGTTGGTATGATTCTGAATGAAGTATTGAAGACTATTGTAATTGAGTTTTCATCTTAGAAAAAGTATTATGAATACTATAAATACTTTTTGCTATATCTAAAGAATTATTAGAGAAATTATTATTAGTAGTTGCTGTTTTAGTATTAAATGATTGGAAGTAAGAATTATTGGGTAATAAAACATTATTTAGTAGTGAAGTGTTATTTGGTAATAAAGCATTATTGGGTAGTAAAGCATTATTAATGATAAAGTATTATTGGATAATGAAGCATTATTAGGCGGTGAAGCATTTTTTGGAAAACTCATTTCCAAAAAAAAAAATTTTTCAAAAATGTTTTAGCTTCAACTTTGGATATCTAACATTAGAAATCTTCTGTATTTATATATTTGCAAACTTTTATAAAATTAAAATCTAATGCAATATAATGATAAAGTATGTAAAGTATTAAAGTATAATAAATGAAACAAGTATACTTATCTTATTTTTTTGTTATTATATTTTATAACTATATACTGAGATATCTTACATATCTGAGATTTTTTGTGTCATTACATTTCTTTTATATTTTTATAATTACAAAAGAATATATATATCAATATAATATGAGTGTCACTAGTAACCTTACTTCAATATAATATAAGTGCTACCAAGGAAAACTAATAATCTGGGTTTCAATTTAATGGTTATTAGCTATAATCTTTAACAACTTGTTAAAGATTATAGCTAGTAACCATTAAATTAAAACTCAGATTACTGGTTTTTCTTGGTAGCACTCATATTAAAGATAAATTTATGCTATTATATGATGCATAATATAAACTAAACTTTTGCATGTGTTGTTGCATCAAGTATAATATAATGCATATATTAAGTATCTTAAATAAACTATTGTAGTATACTTTTAATAAAATAAAAATTCAATATATATTGATATATATTAATAAGTTTTGTTTAAAAGGTTTAATTGCTTATTATCTTATTCTACTATTAATAATCGATAGATTTATTCTAGTCATTCCTTTTTGTTTTCCAATTGCAATCATTATTATTATATTTAATTTTTTTTTTATTTTTTTTTTTAAAATGTATTGGCAGTATAAGCATTGTAATCATAATTTTACAAAATCTTATGCATTAACTCAATATATTTTGCAAAAACATACATATCTTTAAAATTCTACAAATCAAATAGTTAATATTGAACAAGTGGATAATAATATTTGAAATCTTCTAGAATATGATTCTAATTATGAACATTCTACAGATTATGAAGTATATCGATATACTTATATATAATTATCTCTTAATATTTATTATTATTATTATTATTTTACTATATTGTCTTAAAATAACACTCCAGATATAGTTTGAAATTTTGGCCCAAATTAAGCTTAATTCAGGCCAAAATTTTGAACTACACCTAGTTGTTATTTCAAGACAATACATAAGAGTAAATTCATAATAGTTGTAAAATGATATATATTGATTATATTTCATATAAAGTGAAAATATCTCAATATTATCTTAATCTGAATTAAGTTCAAATAAGTATTCTTTTATAGAAACAGAATACCTTGAAACAGATATTATATTGTTTTTGGTAGATGATGAAAATGATCCTAAAGACTATAAAGATGCATTGTTTAATATTATCAATGAATTGCAATATCAAGAAACTAAGTCTGATGAAGGTAATCCTAAAGACTATAAAGAAGCTTTATTTGATGATGCTTTTTATGATTTGCATCATTTATCAAGAGTTAAATGACCTAACAATGCCTATTAAAAGTTTATAAAGATAATCAATAAGTATCATTTATCAAATTTAGCTGACAATGCTTTTATAAATTTCTTCAACAAATTCTTCAATTTGGATATTTTGTCACTTCTACCAACAACCAAAGCCAGAAAAGAATTTCTTGATAATTCTATTGTTTTCTATATGATGTTTAAAGAAGTTACTGTTAAAACATTTGAAAACATTAGATATACATTTTTCTATTGATCATTAATAAAGACTATTAAGTCTTTATTAATGATTGATAGTATTAACCAGTCACTAGTTCTTTAATATGAAGATAAAATAGAAGTAAAAAGGAATATAGAATATTGAGTTTTTGAAAACAATTCTATGGTAATTGGTGAAAGCGAGAAGAATCAGCATTACTTCTTGGGCAACATATATTATCACTTATTTTTTATTCAGATGCTACAACTCTAAACCATATGAGAAAGTCTTCAGGGCATCCTATATTTTTGTCTCTTGGCAACATCTCAAATCATCAGAGAAACAAACCAGAATCTAAGGTATTGGTCAGATATCTTTTAATTTTAAAAGCCAAGAATTCTAAAACAAAGCAATTTGATGACTTTCGCAAACTGTAAAGAGAAGTTTTTCAGAAATATATGTCAATTCTTCTCAAGTCTATTATTAAAGGACTGGAGCTTCATTTCATTATACATAGAAATATAATTACCTTCATCTTATGAATATTAACTATTATTGCTAACTTAGCTAAAATGCACAAGTTTGCAAATGTTTACCAACCATCTTCCTCCAGAAAACTATACCCAAAATGCTTAGTATCAAGAGATAAGTTGAATAATATAAATTTAACAAGTATAATTTTAAGAACTTCAAATATTATAAGGCAAGTGATATATAGTGACAATAATCTTGATTATTCAATTTATTCTAAGACAAATGCATTTTAGAGCTTAAGATAAGAAACTATTAAGTGCTTTATTTATCATAAATTATTAAAATAGCAGGTATAGGGGGTGGCAACCTAGTGAAGTGGTTAGGTTGTCAACCCCCCAAGTGGTAGGTTGGGTGTTCAAATCCTATCGACGGTGAAAATTTGGATAATCACCTATGTAATATTTGTATTATAGCAACTGTTACTAACAGTTGGGTTAGGATACCTGTAATAGTAATCGCACCAGCATGACTGGCAGGTCATGGGGCATCTGTGCAATGTTGGAGTTACACAGAAGAATGCAAACCAACATATCGGGTGATGCAAACACTAGATAAGTCCTTGTGGCCGTGTAAATCTGTTGAAATTGGATAACAAGAAGTCCATTTGGGAAGATCTGAGTAGAAAGGTAGCTGGATCTTTGATGGCCCTACTGTAAAGACTAGCTTGGAGAAATGAATACCAAGGTCATAGTACCTAGTCGTAGTAGCCAGATGGGCAAGAACCTCTGGGTTGAGAGGCTCAGAGATATTACCAACTAGGCTATTGAAATAAATCAGAAAAAAAGGATATCAGGCCGACCTGATATATCGATAGACTGGTCGTAGTCCTACATGAGCTATCTGGATTGGGAGTTTGGTAAAAAGGCTGGACAAAAGGTAAGAGTATACTAAAGTACTAGGGTTATACTATGAAGTAGATGCTGAAGTCTAAGTGAACTCTAAAAGGGCATAGTGGTTTAATGGTTAGTCCTGACTGCAAGTGTTGGTTCTGCTATAGCAATATCTAAATCAGCTATAAAAATGGGTACAGAAGGCTCTGAAGGGTTTACCTTAAGGATAAATTAGTCCTAAGGTTGAGGATGATGATCTGGTATATTTGAGATGACCAGTGATGTTAATACAAGTTACAGGTTCAGAAAGTTTAAAGTAGAATACCTAAGCAGAGATGTTAGGTACAGCAATTGGTGAGGAACCTTTAGGCGAACTCCTTAAATAGGTAATATAGAAAAGTTACACATGTAGCCAATTGTATGCTCTCCTGTAGTGGTTCATTAAACCACAATACCGATAAGTGATTAATAAAAATCAAAAGACCAAAGAGGTTACCTTAATAAAAAAAAAAAAAAAAAAAATAGTATTATAAGATTAATAAAAAATTATAAAACACTTCTAAAAAAATAGATAGCTAAATTAAATAACAAATATATAAAAAATATATATATACTAATTAGGTTATTAGAATTGCTAAAAAAAGAATATATATAATAACTATATATATTAGACTATATGAATTTATAATCTAAGATGTTTTATTAGTTCTAAGTAGCAGATAGTAAGAGATAATAAAGAAGATGTCAAAAAGATAAATAGCAAGATTTGAATAAACTTTATAAGATTATAGTAATTTAATAGTTAATTCTAATTGCAAGTATTAGTCTAAGCTAAAATAATACTAGATTAATTGTAAGTATGAGATACAAAAGGTTTTAGAAAGTTCAGTATAAATCAAAGTTCTTTATATAAGTAAACTGCTTAAAAACTTTATGACTATAACATATTTTTACTGATATTAATCAAAATTGTTGATAAATAGGTAGATAGTAGATATTAGAACTAAAGTGTTTAAATAAAAAATTTACAAGTGAGTTCTAAGTATAACAACTAGTATAAAACTTTCAGACAGACTACTTAAATTAGATAATAACTAATTGTACAAGTTATTAGTTGTACATTCTTTTTATGATTGCCTCTGTAGTTGTACAAATAACTATTAACTAAAATATACTATTAATAAAATTCTAAATCACAAGTACTTATCTTAATATTAAAAAAAATTTTAATTTATTTATCACAAAACTGAATGATCTTTAATAAAATTCTATATTAAACCAATTTACAAAGTTAATTATAATATAAGCTTTATACCTTAAATGATCTTTTTTATATAATGTAATGTTGATATCACAGACTATAACCTATATATAGTTAAATAGTATACATATGTAATATTTATATCTTATTATATTCTTGAAATCAGAATAGAGTTATTCTTAACAATTAAATAGTTCTTTTATGCTCTTGAGGTCAGAATAGAATTGTTCTCAATGGACAGCTAGTAAATATAAATGACATTTTTGTTATTTTTTGTTTTATGCAAGGATATATGTTTTTACTCTGGTTTTATCTAAGTACATGCATGTTGTATATGATTAATTTGTACATATACATTATAATTTTTAACAACATACGTATCTGTAATAGTTATCTTCTGAATACAATTCTATTAAAAGTTTATTGATAATTGATGCTCTATTTATATTATGCTTATTTATTTATTATTGTAAAAGAGATTCATCTAACATAATATATATATAATAACTGGCTTTAATAAGGCTACACAAATTTAATATCTTGGTTTTCATAACATGAAACTTTTGACCAGACCCGGCTGACCGGCTTTTTTTTTTAATTTTTCATATATAAATTTTATAAAATTTTTGAAAATTTTTTTTAAAAAACCCACCCGGCTATTAAAACATATAAAAAAATTTTTTTATAAGCTTTTAAATTTTGACCCGGCCGGGTTATGAAACCAATTAATTGATTTTGTATGACCTAATCTATAATAATAATTTTATTATTGAAAAATTTCTAATATATTTATAAGTCACCAATTTTGAATGCTTTGTTTGAGATGCTAAATAATATTAGTGCCAATCTTCTTAATTGGATGAATCCTATTACTAGTCAATTTCTTAATGATCATTTTCTTATATACGTAGAATCCTTAACAAAACTAGCGTGCGAGCAATTTATAATATGTATGTCAAGATCTTTTGAAAAGCTTATGGAAAAGTAGGTTTTTACTTTGCTAAATGTTCTTATAGAAACCCTTAAAACATATGAAACCCAAATTGCCTTCAGAAATCATTATAAAATGTGTAAAATTTGCACAATAATACAAAAATCAGCATAATAACAAATTTGATAATTTCAGATTGAATTTTGTTGCAGCATAAAATCATCACATCGTCCCTGTGATAGACTCTTGCAAAATGGAAACAGTGTTCGAATCTTAAGCTAAAAATTGAAAGCATCATTAGCTGTTCCTCGGAGTATAATAGAGTACAGTAACATAACAAAACGAACAAATAGCGGGAAAAGCGATTATCAAGGAAAAAAATGCCTGGGTGCCCTGACTTTTTTATCACATTATTATAAATAGAGAATATAGATAGAGAATTTATATTGGCTAATGATGTTTAAAAAAATATATATATCAACCCTAATTTGCTGTTTTTCGGATTATTTTTTACTATTATAAAATAAAATGTGTAATTTACGAATATGTATTCGGTTTCGTTTGACAATAAATTTTCATACGTATGAACGTGGGCTACCATTTTATTAGTAAAATTTTGGAGAAATCGACCCTGGATTTTGGTCGATCTACTGAATTTTGGTTAATCCACTATTCATTGATTTCAATCAATTTAACGTTAAAATTCTGCCTGTAACACAAGGTGTATATGAAATAGATTTTTGGGATTTTGTTTCAAGAGATCCCATGAGCTTCTTTCACCGGAAGATTTATCTTTTGTCAAGGATTCTGGAGATTCAATAATTTCACTGGAGATCTCGTCTGTCTTTCGTTTGTTTTAGGCTTTATCCTTCGCCATTACATAAAATTGTTTCTCCTAACAACTTTAGATCGGATCCTAAATCTTTTAAAGGAATTGCAACAAGTACTAAGAATGTAAAAGATAAAAAAGACCATGGTTTTATATATAAAGAACATCATGATCTTAAATCATTTCTTGCTCTCAAAGATGTTACCAAAAATACCCCAGTATATCGCGGTAATTTATATGAATATCAGACAATAGCATGCCTTAAAACGACACTTGGAATTGTCACAAGGCGAGTAGGTAAAACTAACAATGGGGGATATATTTTCGAGGACAGTGGATATTACCGGATAAAAGACTATGTGTCATTGGTCCATGCAAAGCCTTAGCCAAAAAATGTTCTCCAAATATAATTCGAGAGCTTGAAGGCATACTTTGTAAGGAATCTGAAGAAACATTATACATTTTATCGTCAATGAACGGTTTTACTGGATATGCTATTAAAAGATATATTGCATCACCCTTTCCTATTATGTTAATAACGGTTACAGATAATGGAAGAAAGTTAGGAAATATTTCATGGAATAAAGCCGCCGAAGAATACTTGAAAGGTTTCAAGTAACATTGAAACATGATCTTTTGATGGAAAACCTTTTATTTTAGATGAAGAATAATTCTAATTACCAACCTGGATGGTTTCATTAAACTTCGATAAACCGATTTTATTAAAAAATAATTTTTAGATATATATCTGTATTATCGTTTACTATTTATTACATTTATTCGTTTTTTAAAAGTTTTGTTTGATACAATTAGAAAACATAATAGTGCAATAATTAAGATAAGAATAATAGACTTTATTACCATCTAACCTATTTTTTACATATATTTAAAGTTAATCAAAGCCACGATATCTTATATGTTTTTCTAATTAATAATTATATACTGTATATCAGTTAATTATAAGTTTAGATATATAAAGAGAGTAATTAATAAAACAACATATATATACATGAAAATAAAGATAATCAATTTATCGATTACGTAAAAAGAATTGACTGCATTTAAGAAAAAAATAAACCAAAAAAATTACTTATACTCTTATTAACAACTTCAACTTTTAAAATTTAGATTAAATATATAGTTAAAATAATTCAAATTTTAGTATCTAATCGTGATATTTATATTAATATAAAACTAAAATACGAGCAGACGATTTGTTTTAAAAAATTTTAATTTTAACGCTTACCAAAGGTGAAATTCATCAGGTATGCTGTCGATATGTACTAAGTAAACATGTTCAGCACCCCAAAGAATCCTAACCTCCATTTAAGCCTTAAATTCTACGTAACCCTAAAGTTCAATTTTATCTTATGTAATTTGAGGTAAAATTCCTATAGATATAATTACAATCAGTGTTATGAATTCAAAAAATTTTTATTCGCACAAACGCAAAAAATGTGCACAAAAAAAAATATATATATATATATTATACGCGTGCTATGTATACGGAGAGCGCTGATATGTACGCTGCGAACCCAATTTACAATATTGTGATGAATTTCACCTGACCATTCTATGAATCCTAAGACATGATTGGCTGTGCATCATGGATTATCACGAAACATTAACTGAATTGCGCGTACGTAAAAAAAAAACTTATTGTTATTGAAACCATGGAAAATAATAATGAAACCGAATACGACGAATTTTACATGATCGTACGTATTTACTTCTTCGCTATGACTGTTAAGATCTGCTTTTTTGATGTGCAGGAGGAAATTGATATACCTTTTGAAGAAGAAATTCTACGTAATCCGTATACTTTGAAATCATGGTTTCGATATATTGAACATAAAGCAGGGCAACCTATACAACAAAGAATTTTTGTACATGAACGTACCTTAAAAGAGTTGCCAGGATCCTATAAATTATGGAAACAATAACTAGATCTGCGAAGAGAACAAGTTCAAGATTTAAATCCAGCTAGATATGAAAAAGGACATTTAAAAGTTAATAATTGTTTCGAGAGAGCGCTGGTGTTATTACATAAGGTACAAACTAGTTTTATATCACGAAGTTTACTTACAAGATAAAAATTCTCTTGGATTGTATTGTCGCTTTGATTTAGAATAGTTGTAGATCAATATATAATTGGACCCTCAAAAATGAGGGAACGTTAAAGCCAGGTACCAGTTAGGGTTACTTTTTTGATTCAGTTAGGGTGAGCGGGTCATATATAAATCATACAATTTATGCAGCATGTAGATCATTATATGGCTTTAACGGACCCCAAAAATGGTTATTTGGACGTAATGATGAACGCAATAAATTTTATTTTTACTCTTTATTTACGCGTATGTTTTCTGCAAAAAAAACTTTTATTTGAAGTTATGGACCTTCACTAAGATAAGTATATCGTTTTGTACACATTTGTGTTCAGTTGCTATGCCTATTTTAACTTTTTCGTTTTTGAAAGATTCCCAAACATGGGTTTCTTTCAAGGTAAGTAGTTTTTTTTATAGAGCAGTGACCAACCCGCGCAAGAAGAGCGTGAAGAACGGGTTGGAATAGATGCCACCTTCCTTACCTGGGAAAGGCCCCTTTACCCCCAGAGAGTAGGTAAGTATGATTTTTTGTTGTTTTTAACTTTTGCTTTATAATAGGTTTAAATCTCTCTGGCGGGTATACTTTTTTTTTTACTTTCACAAACCCAGGTTGTGAAAGCTTTTTTTTGGGTCACTTTTGGTATCGACGTCCTTGTCGTGTGGCCTGGGTGTTATCTAAATTATAGGTAATAGCTAACGGATACCAATATATTTTTTTTTTATTAAATAAATGTTTAGTAATATTATATGTAAGATTAATTATTTTATCATAATAAATGGATAATAAATGTTATTAAATTAGTATATATGCAGTGTATTAAAATTAAAAATTTGTTGAGTTGTAATAAAATTTTAGTAATAAAAAGATATTGATTTAGAACTAACTCGACTAACTATTAATAAAATTTTATATAATTTTCCAAATTAGATTTTATCAAAAGTTACGAGTGTATAAAAAAAGCTCTTGTATACAATCGTTACGCACATATATATAATATATAATGTACTCGTATTTATGCTTCTAAGAGAACGGGATTGTTCAGATCAACCTGATCAGAAAATCGAACCTATCTAATTGGTGCGTAACCTAAATTAGTTGAAAAATATATAATTTTAAGTAGATAAATTAAGATAACTCATGTTAAGTAATTTTACATTGTCATTTTATAAACTCATTCACTCGCAGATCTCAAATTTGACTCGATTGTCAGGAACGCTAGTCGTATCAATCTAAACGTAACTAGCTTATAAAAATCCGATTCTGATATAAGGTATACTATCTATAAATTTATCATTTATCAATTATGACGCTTTTCGATTTGTAGAGATCACGTCTTTTTTGTAAACTGCTATAATTAAATACTACAATGCCTGATGTAAAAATCCCAATCATAGTCTTAAACGTTTATTTTAACAATTCTCTAATACATACAGAAATATGTTCGAAATCAACCTTAGTTTGACTCAAAATTCCCTAACTGCCTCGAATTTAATTTGACTTAAACAAACGTATTTAGAGTGGATTCCATTCTATTTCGGTGTATAACGTGCATAATATTTTTGACACGAACATCTCCCATAGAAAGATATTTGTCGCCAAAACATGGATTATAATTTCTTTCATCGAATCGTATATCATAACAAGGTCTTTGTATTGACACACTACTCAATTTCCCATCTTTAACCATATTTCGGTCCCCAAAAGTAAACAGGAAACTATCTTTAATATTTCAATAACATGATTGGCTATATCCATCGATAATTCTAATACCGTGAATTTCCATCATCACCACGGTTCTACCTTTTCATCGCATATATCATGGAAGGTGTCAGAGTCAACCCTGTTTTTGGTTAATAACTCGACATATTTATTCCACTTGTCTATCCTTGTGTTGTTTTATACAGTGCCGTTATCGTTTCTTGAAGTCTCTTTGATCTATAATAAAATCAATGACTCTTCGGACTGGTTATAAGGTTATAATTATCCAATAAGCTATAACAGATCAAAGGTCAACACTGGTTTTATGAAGTTCACGTATTATTGTCTTTGGTGAATTCTAGAGTTTTGAGTTGGTCAAAATTTTCAATTCGATTAGTTGGCAACTTTGTTGATGAGTTTTACTGATCGTATTACGTTGAGATCTGCGCCATAATGATTGGCACAGAATTTGCTTCGCATTACGGTATTATGACATTACGGCACTACAGAATTAACATAGGCAGAAGTTTGTCTGATTGGCTAATAAATTCAATCTAATTTTACATTATTTATACAGTTTAGAGTACTTTTCAAAAAAACGAAAACCAACAATAATAAAGTAAAAAAAATCA